CATGTTTCTCTTTACTCTTATGTTTGAACTTTAAAGTTTCTATACATATCTAATTTTTTCATCAGGAATGCTTAGAAATTCTCTTTTTCATTAAAAGTCCATTTCATAGCCCTCTCTCTGCTTGCCCTCCCCCACCCAATTGTTGGCTATAAGCCTTTATCCTTTGCCTTTTGGGATATGGTACTCTAAGCTCTCTGCTCTTCAAGTGTGGTGACTGCTAAATCATGTGTGATTCTGAGTGTAGTTCTTCAGTACTTGGATTCTTTATTTTATTTTATATTACAGTACTTTTCTTTGAGCTGGAAGCTCTGGATGTTGGCTTTAATGTTTGCCTTCTGGTTCTGAGAGATTTGGGCAGTTTTCTTTTAAAATTTCTTATTGCATGATGACTAGGCTCTCTTTTTTTGAGTCATGGTGTTCAGGTAGTCCAATAATTCTTAAAATTTTTCTTAATATGCTTTCAACTATTTTTGCTAAAGGGACATTTTATATTTTCTTTTTTTAAAAAGTCTTTTGACTTAAACATTTCTTGTTGTCTTGGAGTCATTGGCTTTTATTTGGACCATTCTAATATTCAAGGAGCTTGTTCCTTTGATAAGGTTTTTTACCTTTTGTGCCAAACTGTTAATTTCCTTTTCAATTCTTCTATACCCTCATTTCTTTTCCAATTTTTCCTCTAGTACTCTTTTAGTTTATAAAAAACTTTTTTTTAAACTCTGGTTTCATTTCTTCCAGGAATTCTAGTTGAATTTGAGCTCAGGCTGTATTTTCCTTTGAAAACATCATAGATGTTTTAGAACCATTCTCTTCTGGGTTTGTGTCTTGAACATTCCTGTCATCATAATTGATTTTTTGTAGCGAGATTCTTTTTTTGTATGTTCATTCTTCCAGCCTACATTCTGACATGGGCTTGATGTTATGACCAGACTGAACACTTCTGAAGGGAAGTTCTGGGCTTGTCATGTTGCTACTTTCTTGGGGATATTGAGTGTTGTATTATTCCAGTCTGTTAGCAACAGTTCAGGCTGGGGATCTGCAAGCTTTCAATGCTCCCAAAGTAGTGGGATACAGGCATGTGCTTATAAATATTTAACAACTGGTTCTCCTCTCTAAAATGTACACACGACGCACCTTTAAAGTTTAATCTGCATTTTATTAACATTCTCCCCACCACTTTCTTAAGACTAGACAACCAACAACATAATAAATCCCTTATCTGTAGTGTTAGCCTATTTTTGAAATGTAAATGCTTACATTTAAAATTATTTAACAATAAGCTCTCCAGGTTGATTTAGCTCTAGCACTCACCTGGATCTAGAGCAAAGTCTTATCAAGTTACCTCATCCCACCCCACTCTGTGTTCTGCACATTCCTGAGTGGGGTTTGGGTTTGAGAAATAGTAGACTGATTCAGTCTCATTTAGCCATAAATCTCTACTAATTCAGAGTAACAAAACTTTAGGCTTCCTTTTGGTCTGAGATTCCTACTCTACTTAATACTCTGCAGTCTTCAGATTGGGCTAGAGGCTGAGAGTTAAAATCCAGCTCTCCTCCTGGAGTGTGAGCCATGTAGCTGCCACTTAATTTTTGAATTTGCTCCTTTCCCAGTATACTTCTTAGGGCCTCTAATTGCTTCTTACCCCAGAATGCCATTTCTGGGTTCACATCTCTGCCCCAGTCTGCCCTGGATCCATGACCCAGAACAGGGTAGTGGGTGATAAAACTGCAAGTTGCTGCACAAAGTTGCAGTGCCATAGTATAGGTATTGAACTGCTTCTTGGTATAGGGCCCCACCTTTTTCTGTGCTTGAGTGCTCCATGGGGCATGTTCTTGGCCAGACCCTTCCTCCTTTCCTTCTCCTTCCCAAGGGTCTGCGAACCTCTTTGTCTCCTTCCCTATGCTGACATTAGCTGGAAAAATAATTTCTAGATGTTTAGAGAAGTGCCCCACCCACCCAGGAATTTACTGTTCTTCCTGCAATTCCATTATCTCCTCTGGTATTTCTTGTATAATCTCATCTGAGGAAGAGTTTTAGTTATTGCGAGAGTATTCCTGTCAATACCATTGTGCTGTAAGAAATGATAAGCAGGCAGATTTCAGAAAAACCTGGAAAGACTTACATGAACTAATGCTAAATGAAATGAACAGAACCAAGAGAACACTGTACACAGTAACAGCAACACTGTATGATGATCAACTATGACTGACTTAGCTCTTCTCACGATTATGATACAAGACAATTCCAAAAGCTTCGTGATGGAAAATGCTATCCATATCCAGAGAAAGAACAGATGGAGTCTGAATGCAGATCAAAGCATACTATTTTCACTTTATTTTTTTCATGGTTTTTCCTTTGCAAACTGTAATTGTTTTGTAAACTGTTTCTTCTTTCACAACATGACTAATATGGAAATAGGTTTTACATGATTGCACATATATAACCTATATCAAATTGCTTACTGTCTTAGGGAGGAGGGAAGAGTAGGAAGGGAGAAATTTTTTAATTAAAAATTTTATAAAAATGAGTATTAAAATTGTCTTTACACGTAATTGGAAAAAATAAAATACTGTTTAAAAAAAAGTATTCCTGTCTTTGGGAACAACCTCCTTGCATCTTTTTTTAAACCTCAGAGTATTTCTTCATTGTATTACAAAGTCTTTGCTTATTTGTTTAGTCACTTGATTTTCGTCAGTTTTTTTTTCTTTTAAGAATTTCTTCTTCCCCACTCCCCTTCATTTTTCTTTATTAGATGCATATCTTGCTGTTTTGATGTGATGGTAGGGAACTGGTCTTAGATGTAAACACATGTCATTATCTTGCTGGAATTCTACCTTGTCTTTAAGCTGAACATACCTCCTGAAGAGATGAAATGCTATGAAAACTAGGAGCTCAGGAGAAGTACCAGCCATTGGCATGGATGTAGGCAATAAGGGTTTTTTTCCTGCAATAAGTTTAATTTCTTATTAGTGTCATATTCCTAAACTTCTATATTTTGTACTACATATACTGACATTATTGTATTATCAACATTATATAAAATAAGAATTAGTACTGTACCCTCTTCACTGAAATTTTCATGTTTTCCAGTTGTTTTTCTAGGAATAATTTCTAAGATTTGGAAAATGTGAATCAACAAATCACTGGCTTATGCCCATACGAAATAAATCTAGTAGCAAATAATGTTTTCCCTAATTCAAAAAACAAGTTACTCAAATCTCATGATGTATATAGTTCACATTATATAATGGGAAAGACTTCCAGATTTATAAAATAGATTATTCACTGATGTAGGATTTTTTCCCCTTCTTTATCTCCCACTGTAGTGTAGGAATGCTATGCTTAGGATGAGGGAATTAGGAGTAGTTTATAGTAGGCATAACATTAACAAACACTGTAATGGGGAGGTAGGAAGGAAAATTTATGATACATACTTGGGACTCAGAAATTCCAAAATTTAATTCTCAATCTGCTTTAGTTATGAAAAGTCATTTCATTATATAGTCTAAAGGAATTATAGGGAGGAGAAAACAGATTTTAATAATTGCTTATGAGTTAGAAATAGAGAATATAAATGACTATGATTTCTTGAAAATTTACAAAAATATATTATTTATTATTTATGTTTGACCAAGGGTTCTTAATCTGGTGCCCATACACTTGTTTTTCTAATATTTTCATAACTGTACTTTAGTAAAATGGGTTTCTTTGGTAATTATATATGTTTTCTTTTTCTTTCTTTTTCCTTTCCTTTAAAAATGTTATTCTGAGAAGGGTACACATGTTTCATCCCACTGCCAAAGGGGTCTATCAAACCATAAAGGTTAAGACCACAGAATCTCATCTTTATCCTACCAACTCTCCAAAACTCCTCCTACCTAAACCCCAAACATAACATGGTTCTTTTCATCTAGGAATTTACAGCCTAATCACAAGGGTTTTAAAGTTCTATATGAATGATGACAAATATGGTTCCAAATGGCTTAAACTGTAATCACAAAATACAGAGATATGAGAAAGTTAGTTATGGGGTATTCAAGAAATTTCAATGAAGACAGTGATCTATTTTTAAAAGGATTTAAGACATTAAAAAAGCATCTCAATTCTACAGTTACTGATTTTTCTATTCTGCAAAATTTTATTAAGCAACAGCTGGACAACTCTTACAACTCCAAATCATCAAGGAAAAAAAATAGGGCAATAGATCCATCTCAATAATAAAGACAGTAAAGAATAAAGACAGTAAAGAATTTAGACAAACCACACCTTTTAAAATGGAAACCATGAAAACTTTCTAGGATACCTCCTTCACAATCTAATACACAAAATACATAAGGAGAGGCAGATTAGGGTGAGTTTTATCACAATGTAACGCAGGGTCTGAACAGCTCTTGGTTCCGGAAGTAAAAGAAAGCAACGCAGTCAATTGAAATATAATGCTATATAATTATGGAAAAGCACACAGCACAGGTGTACTCTGTTTCCCGAGGGACTGATTATAGCATGCTGGTCTTGTGTGGTTTGGGACTTATGCACCTTCATAACTGCACACTTAATTTGAAAGAAAAAAGAAAGGAAAAAAAGACAAAAACAGTTGTAATAAACTCAGAAATAATGTGCAAAAGTTACAGTACCAAAGTAATGCATTTAAACAAATGCAAAGAATATCCCTTTTGGTTAAACAATGGTGCCTTTCTCAGTCAAATGCATACCCATGCTACTCCACAACACTATATATATTTTTATCTACAACAAACAAGATCTTAAAGCCCCACCCCCACCCCCAAACAGAAAGTTACAAGAAAAAAAAGGGAAAATATAATTGAAAGTGAACACACAAATACAAACATATATGCACATATATATTTGGAAAAAGAAAATCTCTAAGGTTTTATAAAGCACAGACATAAACACATAATGGAGACAAGTTATGAACTGTGTGCTATTATGAAATTTTATGAACTCAAATATTATTCATTATATGAAAAAACTTTTTTCTTTACAATTAGAAAAAATTAACATTATCTTGACTAGCCTTTTAACAAACATTTACATGGCCAAATGAAAAACTTCTTACAGTATATGATGGTTCATTCTTCAAAGCTGTTGTGTAAGAATAGAATCCTCTTGTAAGCCAGTGTAACAATGGAGAGAACATTTCAGGAATTCTAGGTCTTCTTGGACATATACACACATATACATACAGACATGTATATGTGTGTACATGTATACAAATATTTAATTCCATTCTATAACACACTATTTCTCAATGGAAATGATGCAAATAAGGAGTGGTTGTTTAATTGCCTTGCAGGCAGGGAAGCTGACTACATAGGAAACAATCAAAAGGAGACTCCTGTGTCATCCTCTTTGGTTCAAGGTTTCTGGAGAATTTTTAGAAGGCAAACAAAATTCCAAATCAATTCTTTCCCAGTGACAAATTGTTTAAAGGGATTACTTTTAAAAAATGAAATGGTTGGATTCCATACATAGCTCATTAACAGTCCTGGAGAAAGATATTTCTCTTGATTAAACCTGTATTTCAAATCACTTAAATAGAACCTTAAAACTATACCACTTGAAACAATAGACTCTATCAGAGATGAGAGGGATCTATCCTCTTATTTTTACAAATGAGAAAACTGAGCCCCAGAGGAGTCAAGTGACTCACCTGAAGCCACACAGCTAGAAGACAGGTAAAGCCAGCATTAGAAGCCATTAGAAACTGGCTCACAGTTTAGTGCTTTTTGCATCATATCACAACAAGACAACGACACAAGTTTTTGCCTGTAGTTCAGTAGGATACTATTCCATTAGCAATAAACCAAGTCAAGAAGAATTAACCTGGAAAACATTTTGGTTTATAGTACAATCAAAACTCAGAAAAAGGCTTACTTTATCTGTCTCAATATGATGGTGAACTATATTGAAGGTGTACGTTTGCCCACAAAATCTTACTTTTCTTTGATTAAGTTAGGGTAAAACAAATTTTAAATTGGTTTCCATGTCAAATTTATGTACCTTCTTCCATGAAAAGAGCATATTCTTCATGAAGCTGATTCTCATGAGACTAAAACTTTTTTAGAATTTAGAGCTCCCATCAGGAATTTTCATATGTGTGCGTATATGTATGTGTATATATATGTATGTACACACACATATAATCTTTGTAACTTAAAGTAATTATGTTTCTGATGAAAATAATTCTTTTATGAATAAAAGGATCACCCTTAATCTAAAAACACTCTAGATACAGCTACAGTAGACATCAATTTATGCTTTATTTTGGTACCAAATTATTCTTCCCAGAGCAGATGACAAGGGTTAAGTACTAGTTGCATGTTCCTTGGTACTCAGACACTAAACTGCAGAGGCCACAAACGAGGCTGAAGCATTAAAAAGTACACAAAGTGATTTGGAGTAGAACCTGTCTTTTGGGAAGCAGGTTGAGAATTTGTTAAAAGGCAAATTATCTTTGCTACAAAGGTTCCACGCTCACCTGACATAAAGATTTTGAACAGTGATTCCAAAGAATTCCCTTGAGCACTGACCCTCATTTAGAAAGACTTTTATTTCACATTCTACATTTTATCCTTTTATGTCATATTTTAGAAATCAAACAGGGCTTTAAAAAATCTGAAGCAGATTACTTAAAATTCCCTCCCCGCTGCTATTCTCATTCTCTCATTTTTTTCCCCACTCAAAATACACTATCTTTTTTTAAAAAAGAAAGTTCAACAAAAAAGGAAAACATCTAGGTAAGTTATATCATCACAAGGAAACCATATTCTTAATGGAATATATACTCAAAGATATTACTGTTTCTTAACTGCCTAATTAACAGGATTTTTCTCCTTAAATTATAAAAAGTTGCAAATTGTCCAGCAAAAACAAAATCTTTCTATACATATTCTGCAATTGTTGCAGCAAAACGTACTGCTACCAAATAATTAGTTACAAGGATGCTCTTTTTATATAAATAAGAAAGTGGGTATAACTCACCAGTACATAGTAATAAAATAATCCATAAAAACACTTATTACATTAAGCAAGATAAATAATTTGTCTCTAGGACAATAAGAGAATTTGCATTTAAATTATTTAAAAAACTAGGCTGTAACAATTATTGCACAACTAAAAATAAGCACTGAAAAGCCATTATCAGGCTACAGAAAACTAATGTATAAAGGAATTAGATAATTCTGAACACATTGCTAAATTCTTCCTAGAAGAACTTATCTACTAAAAAACTGGTTTGTAACGTTTAAATATAAAATGCTAAACTCAGTTTTGGCTGGCAAACAGTAACTTCCATGATGTTTTAAAATCATATCAATCTTTTTTGTTTGTTTTTGTTTTTTGGGGTCTGAAGAGAATGGCTATTGACAATATCCTGCTCTGAGCAATGAATGAGTCAGGTTTTGCTTCTAATTCTTATGCCTAGATGATGCTTGGCTATGCTCATAAAATCAAATAGGGAATTTAAAAATAAATGCTTAAATCATGAACATACCTACTTTAACTTTTTGTATTTTCCACTTTTCTGTTTTCAAACAAAACCCAAATACAGGACTCTAAACTAGTAGACAAGTTAAAACTAAAATTCTGCATGTTCCTAGGAACAGGGCTTAGCAATATCAAACTTGTGTATTCAGAAAAATCATTTAAGATCTTGGTTTCAGGGCCCAAACACTACCCAAGAAATCCTTTTCTCACCTGAAGGTAGGAACAGGTGCAGGATGAAGGTGATACAAAAAAGGGGCACTTTGCTATGAAGAGTCATTTTAATTTTAAGTTAAAGGAGGAAGGGTCCTTGCTGAAGTGCAAAAATGACATTTATATCAGTGGTCCAAATGGAATGTCCAGATATTCAAAATCATATTTAAAAGAAACATTTGTGATGGACCTGTTTTGTATTGCACACAGACATCATTCTGTCCTCCTTCCCTGTAAGAAGCTTTCATTCAAGTGAATATACAAATAAACCGGGGTGGGCATAATAGCTTTCTTAACAGCAGCGAACGAGTGGAATAGAAATCCATCAAAAAAAGTTTAAGCAAGCTGCTGACAGTAATTCCTAAGGCTCTCTGTTACTGATTTTTGTAAAGGCTTTATTCCTCTGCAAAATACTCTGTACTATTAAATAAGTAACTTTATTCATGGGGAACAACAGGACAAGTTTCAAAACTCGGTGAAATGAATATCTTTCACTACCCTGCTTAATGGAAAATTACTTCAAGGATTTTAGAATTTATACATAGCAGAGAATAATATAGCATTTTTTTCAAAGAAAAAAATTAGGAAAATTTTTCTCTTTAAGAAAGAGAGAGCAGTGAAGAGACATATCTGGAGGATAAGAGAAAATAGAAAACATACAGTAACCTCCTCTACATAGCCCTGTTCTAACTTACAGGAGACTGGAGTTGGTTCTCAGCAGGACTCACACACCACGGGTTTGAGAAAAATCGCTGTCTTTCCACTGCAGAATCACAGAATTACAGAGTTGGAAGGAGGCTCAGTAGCCACCTAATTCAACCCACACCATCCTAAAGTATTCCCAGTACAACATACCCAGCAAGTGGTCATCTAACTAGATCTCTCTAATTTCAGCCTCTTCACCTCCTTTCAGTCAATCACGCCAAACAATTGTCATTGCTTTTAGGAAAGAAACACTCATATTATGCAACTCCTAAAATCACTTATCTTAAATGTTAATCACTCAAAGAGGAGTGTAGCCCTTCAACTCGGTCTACACTGACACATAATATGCCTCTCACTTACATGAACATACAATACTGTTAACAATATTGGAAAACTGCAGTCCATTTCCCCCTCACGTTTCATCGTAGAGCAAATCATATTTATCCCAGGTGATGGTGCCACCTTTCAGAAGTGTGTTACCAAAATGGCTGTTGGCATACAATTATTCTCTATAGTAACAACCTAGAATTTAGAAATTACAGTTTGTTCCACTCTAAAAAAGGTGCTGTAATATTCAGCTACCAATGAATAGAATCTGAATTTTCAAATATTTTTCTGGGGGAGCTTGAAATATTTTTTGCTTTTGTTTTTAACACCATTGTCAATGTTAGGGTAGTAATAAAAGGTGGATGCAACGAGGGAATGAAAAATAATATGTATGTTCCATGTTTTTAAAAGAATAACATGATATAAGGCAGTCCATCCAAAAGGACAGTTGTCCTGTTCTCCCCCCCAACCCACTTCCCAACCCTCCCCCCCTTCCCCCACTAGCTTTACATCAGCAAACACAATAGAACCAGTACCACAAGCCAAAGCTATACTTCCCAACGTAACACTGAATGGTTCTAGCCCTTTGCTCTCAAACACCAGCACTATATTTTGCTTTTGTTAAAAAAAAAAAAGATAAAGGATACTAAAAACCCAAATAAACAATAACAATTACAGTTCAGTGGCCTCTCTTGGGGGGGCCTGATAGACTTTTCCAGTCTGCTGTTGTCTTCTGGTCCGTGCAGGCACCTCTGTTACACCCAACATTGGGTCCGCCAGCATTTTCTGGATTGGACTTCTTTGAAAAGGTTTCTTTGTGTTTCTTTCTCCTTTGAGTCATTTTTTTTTTATTTGAGGCGCTGAGTCACATTAGCCAGAGCAACTGCAAATGCCTGGACAGCAGAAAAGGGATACTGAAAGTCCAAAATGTAAGCATTGCCATCAATCCTTCCAAACTGCATTACCTATAATAGGGCAGTAGGGAAGAAGAAAGAAAATAAGGAAAACAGTTAAAACTGCAACACAAAAGAATTTTAAAAATTCAATCCAAACCTAAAGTGCCCTAATTATGTGATCTATGAAAAAGAAATTGAGTTCTCATCTTAAGAGGGCTTCTCCAGCTGTCCCAACCACCAAAACTTCCTCAAATTTGACATATTTAGTATTTTGTCCTTGTGAGAGATTGAGGATGAAAGTTTACATGACAATTGCTTTTCACAGCCCTTAGCAGGTCTGTGTTTCATGCTACTGCAATAATTGCTGGATGACAGTAAATGCACATAATAATTTAGAAAATAATTATTTATTTTCTTTTGATTATTATTTTGGTATAAGAGGCTATCCCCAAAGATCAAAGAATCACAAATTTAGAGCTGAAAGGGACACAGTTACCTACCTGTCCTGCCCCAATCTCTCGGCCAACCTCTAATCCTGAATCTCCAACTGCCTTTCCGACATCTCAAGCTGATGTCCACGAGACATCTTCAACTCGACATATTAACTGCCCACCCCGCTCACCCCAGACATACATTTCCTATCAGAGTAGAGGACAACACCGCCTTCCCTGTCTCTCTAGGAGACATCCTGGACTTATCACCATCTCTCACTCTCTATCTATTCTATGGCCAAGGCCTGTCATTTTCACCTTTGTAACATCTCTCAAATTCACATCTTCCTGTCCTCTGGCCCTGTCATCTTGCTACTCAATAAACACCAGTGGCTCCCTACAGCCTCTAGGATCAGATACAAAATCCTCTGGCATCCAAAGCCCTTCATAACCACCCCCTCCTGGCTTTCCAGTCTTCTTACGCCTCATTCCCAGACAGGTATCCTCTGATCCAGTGATGCTGGCTTCCTTGTTCCCTGAACAAGGCCCTCCATCTCTCAACTCCAGTCATCTTCACTGACGGTCCTCTTTTCTTAGAACGTTCTCCCTCCTCATCTCTGCCTGTGGGCTCCCCTGGCTTCTTTTAAGTTGCTACTAAAATCCCATTTTCTAGAAAAAGCCCTTTCCTATCCCCCTTAATTCTAGTGCCTTCTCTCTGTTAATTATTTCCTATTTAACCTGTATATAGTTTGTTTGTACAGATCTGTTTGCTTCTCATCTCCTCCATTAGATTGCGAGCTCCTTGAGAGCAGGGACTATCTTTTGCCTCTTTTTAAGTCCTTAGGGCTTAGTACAGTGCCTGGCACATAGGAGGTACTTAATAAATGTTTACTGACTGAATGACCTAGTCCAATTCCCTCCTTTTATAGATGAGGAAAATGAGATTCATGGGGCTTAAAAGACTCACCCATGGTCAAATATATGATAAATAGCAGACTTTACTAGCTCATAATGATTATAGACTGCTGAATTACAATGTGATCTTACATTCGTCAGCAACAGGCAATCAATCACAAGTTCACCAAACTTACATGAAAACTAAGTTTATTGCAAGACAAATGACCATGCATGTGGAACCCAAGGAGTTCACAATTCATACAGAAATTTACATATTTATGACAGCAAGACGAAGGAAGGAGGAGATATCAGAATCTTCACTTAAAGGGGCATGACATGGGAAGGGAAAGGTGCAGAGAGTTGGAAAAGGACAAAACCTCTCCCAAAGGGGAGGAGCGAGGCACATTCTTTTTTTCCCTTGGGAAGTGCTAGACCATGAAGACACGATAGTATCCTTATCTACAAGGGCCCAGCTGCACAAGCCTAGTGCAGACTGTCTAATACATGTTTTGACTCCCAGGGACACACAGGGAGTCCAATTTGGGATGCAAACAACAATTTATGTCAGCTAGAGGGGAGAGGTTAGTCCTTAACACATACAGGCCCCCTGCATGCTCTGGGTCCAGTGTTTTTGGAAAATATGGCAACTCAAAAAGACAAGTTCAGGGGACCTCTTAACAGTCCTCAACATATTCGACCAAAGACATTTTTATTGCAATGCTTTTATAAAGATTATGTTAAAAAAAAAGGATAACTTAGAGGAAGATATGAATTAAGTCAAAATTTGAAGTGGATTAACTAAAGTGAGATGAAAAATTCAATCTAGCAATTAAGTACCAGCTAACACTAAGTAGTAGCAATTAGAGCTTTTTTTAACCCCTAAGTTTTAACAGAAAACAATAATACGATCCAGTTATATGGAGAAGGGATATCTCTCTCTCTTCCCTCCCTACTCTCCCTAACCCAGGAGAATTTCAAGGTACTTCTGAGAAACTTGCAAGCTAAACAAACCAGCATACAGAATCAAAGAATTCAGAGCAAGAAGAAAACTTAGTGGTCCCCTAGGAAGTGTATTTTAGAGATCAGGAAACAGAGGTCCAGAAAAGCAAGGTAATTTTTCCAAGTCACACAGGCCATAGCTGAATTAGTTGAGATGTGAACCCCTCCCATTTTGTTTCCTCCTTAATACTGGAGACAATTTCATTAGCTGGTTTTACTTCTACTGTGTACAATTAATTTTCCTCTCTCTAAAAGATGACTCCCAGTTACTCAAGGAACGAAAATACCTGCTGTGCAAATTTCATGGGACATCCTTAGTGAAAAACTGCTCCTTGAAGGCCAATATCCTTTCAACCCAATTTTAAAAAGCCCTGTTGAAATACAAGGTGATTTTTGTTTCACTCAATCTTGAGCAGGATTCTTAAGGCAAAAACATGGCTCAACAAGAGGAAATTTGGTAATTAATCCTCAAGGAACAGAAAAGGCTTCAGAACCTTGAAACAGACTACCACTTGAAGGAGAAGGTTCTTTTAACAGTGCTCATCCTATTACTGACCTACAAAGTCAAGCTAAAACATCCCAAGTTTTGATATAAGTAGCTCATTTGTAATAAATTGGCATTTCTATTCACTCCTCAAACTCAAACGTATAAAGCAGGGCAAAAATGAAAGTTGAATGGGGAAAAACAAAGGCAGCTGAGATTTTCAGAAGCTCAAAACACATTTATTTTTGATGATGCTTTGACAGGCTTTCATTTTTGCTTATTGTTCTACCCTTGAAAAATTTTCTACTCTGAATCACGCAACGTTTAAAGAAGTATTACTTCTATCAGTTCTGCTAAAGTTCTTAACAGAATTTCCTAGAAACAAAAAAAAAATCAGAAGCAGATTTGGTTTTTTTCTAATAAATATAGAAAGTTTAATTGGATAAAAAGGCTGTAGCAAGGCAGAAAGACATTTTGTAACTTAAGGCCTAACATACAGATTCACAAATGTCTCTTGAAGTAAAATCTCACTGTCTTTAATAGAATTAACAGACCATCTGAGTTTGACCACATTCTGTTAAAAGTCAGCACGTAAAGGAACTCTGCCAGACCAGAGATAATTAGTTATTCAGAGAGCTATCGAACTGCTTATATTGACAGTATCCTTTGGGCCCTATTTAATTAACGGTTCAGCTACTGGCATGCAGAACAAAATTCTTGGGGTTTGCTTTTGTAGGAAGTTTCATCAGCTGTCAGTATCACTAACGATAATGAACACACTGAAGCCTTTTCATTGCTCTGACAGGAAAAATGTAAAAATACATACTGTCTGAATTCTCTCATTACTATACACTTTGTTTGAATAACTAATTTGTAATACTAGTTTTTAGACCACTGTACATAAAGAATTTTTTTAAAAGAAGAAAGTAAAACATTTCTGTTTAAAAACGAGTCCAAGCTAAGTGTGGTGGCAGATGCCTGTGATCTCTGCTACTGGGTAGGCTGAGGCTGGTGGATTACTGGAGCTTAGGAGCTCTGAGTTGCAGCAGAGCTAAAGCTGAATGGGTGTCCACACTAAGTTGTACACTAATATAGGGGACCGCTGGAAATAGGTGGCCACTTGGTTGCCTAAGGAGAGAAGAACTGGCCTACATCAGAAATGAAACAGGTCAATCAACAGTGGGGCCCCATGTGTGGCTGCTGTACTTCTAGCTTAGAAAAGATAGGGATGAGGAGAGAGGAAAGGAGGGAAGGAAGGAGGAAAAGAGGGAAGGAAAGAAGGGAGGGAGGGGGGAAGGACAAATTTCTTGATAGAGAAATCATGGGGTACAGAATGAGACACATATTTTTTGGACATGGTCAGTGTGGTAATTTGTTTTGCTTGACTATTATACTTAGGGGCTACAAGGATTCTTTCTTTTCCTTTTCTTCTTAATAGGTGGTGTGAGAAGGGAGAGAAAATAATTTTTTGTTAATTGAAGGGGAAAAAAAGCAATTTTAAAAAAGGAAGTGAGGCCAGAAGGGTGAAACAGGATTTCTGGGACTGCACTTGGTTTTTCAAAATAAATTAGCTATCACTTTCAAAGCAGTCTTACCTGTCTCCCTTCCAATTCAATCTGGAAGTTTTTTGCAGATTCTTGGGTCACCCGCCCTCCGAAGTCCAGCTGGTACACCTGTGTAGCCTCATTCCACAAAGGCTGCTTATTAGCCATCACATACACAAATCCCTGATTCCCCAACCTCCCGTCCTCCTTTTCATTAGCTTTCCGGCACTTGAATTCCTCCAGCTCACTGGCTGTCCTCAGACTCCTTTTGGTTTTCCACCCCTTCTTGCTGCCTTGGCTCTGGTTCATCAGCTCATCCCCACTGATAAACAGTTCTGGCTCACTCTCGGAGCTATCCTGAAATTCGTTTGTCTTACTGAGCTTCTTTGACTTCAACTGGTCCTTCTGGCTCTTCACTTTCTTTTTCTCTCTCCCAAGTCGGGGGCTGGAGATGAGGGAGTTGAAGTCACTCAGAGTCCTTGCCTCCTTCTTCCCCTTGCCCTCCGTGATGGCCTGGACATTCCCTTCTTCAGCACGGCTGTCCAGATGCTTACGGTTCTTCTTCCCAAATTTATCTGTCCTCTGTGGGATAGGACTTTCTGTCAAGGAGAGGACTTCCTGGAAATTGTCTGCAGTCTCCACCATCACTTCTGTACCCAGGTGGCCTTGGTGCTCAGCTGGAGGTGGGGACACAATGGGCTTTTCCACAACCAAGTGTGATTTGGGAGGAAGAGTGCCCTGGGAGTTCTGCACAGGTGGGCACGCACTGTAAGAATTCCAAGGATGCAAGGCAATGGGTGGCAGCTGTAAACTAGAACATGTGCTGCTTCCTGGGTACATGGGTGGCAAGGGGCAATAGGAAAGGCTGGATGAGTACCCTGGCTGAAGTACTACAGTGGGTTCCTGTTGTGCAAATTGTGTTGGGGACAGGGCTTCTTTAGGGGAGCAGGGAGCCTGCATTCCCTGCAAAAGGGGATTATTATAGCTTCCTGGAAAAGGTACTCCCATCCCATAGCCTGTCTGGAAAGTGGCAGTAGGGCTGGTTGGAGACTTGGGGGAAACAAAGGGCACTCGGGACACATCCAGGTGCTGGGCCTGACCAATCATCAGAGGCGGTGGTTTCAGGGGGTTGGGCACTGAACTCTGTGCTGTCCTTTCCTGAGGAACCCAAATATCCTCTCCCAACATAGGGTCCCACTGGTAAGGGGGCGGCCGTTTCACTGCCATAGTTGTCTCAGCTAGCGCTGCATGCCTAACAGACTTTTCCACCTGACAGTGCTGGGATAGGGCCTCATCCTCTGTGAAGGCAGAGTTGACATAGTCTGTCCGATCACGAGAGTTGTCAGGTGGGCTCAGCAGATTGTATGAAGACTGGGAGGCCAAGGGTGAAGTGCTGACTGAGTGCGCTATGACTGAGCTGTGCTGGGAGCTGCCCACCGAGCTCAGGTCAGGCCGCATACCACCCCCGAGGCCGGCTGTGCCGCTGCCGGCACTGGCCCCCGCCAAGCTGCCTCCAGCGCTGTTCGCACCACTTCCACTGCCGCTGCACTGGCTGCAGGTGTACAGAGCAGCGGGCGGCCTTGGCTGGTACTGGGCGGTTACCACGCTACTCTTGGGCTTCGGCGGGTGCTGCAGGGTAGCCCGCTGGCTATCTGCCAGCTGAGCCATCTTCTGAGCCGCCTCTCGGTTATTCCTGCGCAGCGTTGCATGGATAAGGCTGCTGTCTAATCTCTGGGCAGCTCCTCGCCCCTGGGCCAGCTGGCTAGCGATTTCTGGATAAGGGGGTGGATCCCCAGATGGGATGGAGTAGCGGGGGACAGTTAACCGGTTGAGGGTTGCACTGGAACAGGGCTGCGGGGCCTTCTTTTGAGTGGCCGTGATCCTCAAGGTAGCTGAGCTTCCAGGCCCTGGAAGGGTATAAGTGTTCTGGGCACACAGCATCCGAGTCCGAGGCCGACACACTTCCTCCACGTTACCGCTGCTGTCAAAGGTGGTGATCCTCTCATAGCCGAGAGGGGTTTGGTAATGTCCCGAAGAAGGGAAAAGAGAGAAGTCTCCCTTTTTCAGACAAACATCCACAGGGGGCTGAGGGGGAGGCAGTGGTGGGGGTGGGGCTGCAGTGGTGGGAGCAGCTGGGATAGTTCCTGGGTAAGGGGGTGGTGGGTTCAATTTATTCATCTGGATCTCCTGGGTAGCCGCGAAGACCACAGCATCCCCTTCTGCTGCCAGCGGCTGCACTGGCCTCAGGGCCTTTGCTGCCTTCTGCAGGTGCTCGTGTTCTCTGTCTCCGTGATCCCCCACAGACAGTTGGATTGCCCCCTGTGGTGGGAGGGACAGCTGAGGAGGTGCCTGAATCAATCGTCCCATCTCTACTCCTCCAAAAATCACTTGTCCTGGACTGGAATACCTATTGGGGCCTGGGTACTGGACGGTGCTGTCACTCGCGTGATCAGCTGCTCCCACAGAAGTTGTCTGATTGGTTAGGACATCCAACTGCACGTTCTGATTGGCAAGCAGGGACTGCACCAACCCTATGCTTTGCGTGGGGGACATCGCTTGTGCTGAGCTGTGGATAGGAGCAATGGGGATGTTCACGGTGCAAGGGGGATTATTTTCAGGTACTCCAGATGCTCCAGTAACTACAAGAAAAGGAAAAAAAAACTGCTTACAAAACACTAAAATGGAATTGGGCCAGAATAAGAATTACAAGCCTGAATCTGGGGCTAAATATTTTTTCTTCAAGTTACAGGAAATCATCATGACTTGATATTTGGGATCTTAAGGCAAGATGAACCCTCAGTGAATGGCAGTCCTATTTTTCTGTGTTAGAATGGCCATAATGCTCTTTTAGTATGTGATGCTACTGACTTCAGCAACACCCCCAGCTTCCTGATTTTCCATTTCTGTGAGGTACTGGGGATATAAGAAAACTGGCTTCTTCATAGCTAGGAGTCCCTTAGTAAGCAAGTGCTGTGTACAAGGACATTAATTTCGTGGATGTACCTTCTTACTCTATGCCTCCTCTGAAAAAAAAGAAGCATGCAAGTTGGTCTTGTTAGATAAAAAACCTTTGTTTCAGGAAAAAGAGGACTGGGGCCAGTAGTGGTAGGCTATATGTCACAGGAAGGATGAGTAACAGGTGAAAGGGGGGAAGAAAATACCCATTCATATAGGACTGACTATGTGTCAGACACTCACAATAACCTTTAGGAAGCAGGTGCTAGTATCATCCCCATTTTATAGTTGAGGAAACTGAGGCAAACTAAGGTTGTTAAGTGAACTGCTCAGAGTCATGTAGCTACTAAGTGTCTGAAGCCAGATTTGAACTCAGTTTTTCTTGACTCCAGGCCCAGCACACTACATACTGTGCCAACAGCTGCCTCAAAGAAGATGACCAGAAGGTCCACTCTAATGAAGGTTAAATAAACAAGCGTCCATTACTCCTTTGGAACCAATCTTCAAGTTCCTGGCATGGTGTAATCTTTAGGTAAAAGCCCTCTCTTTCTACCCTTGAGCGTGGGGGCTAGAAGGCCATTTTCCTACAAAACAAGTAAAAATAATATGTTGCCCTCTCCACACTGACAACTAGGGGGTAGAGTGCACAGAGTGCTGGACTTGGAGTGAGGAAGACCTCACATCAGATACTACCTCAGACACTTAAAAGCTGTGTGACTATGAGCAAGTTAACCAATTTCTCTGTGTCTCAGTTTCTTCATCTGTAAAACAGGCACAATAATAATACTTAGCTCCCAGGGATGTTGTGAGGTTCAAGTGATATATTAATATAATAGAATTCTTTGCAAACCCTAAAATACTATATAAATGCTAGCTATTAGTCTTGTTTTTGCATCTACGAGGTTGCTTTATGTATTAATAGGCACTTAGTAATTGGAGAATTAAGAACAGTGTAGCATAGCAGAAAGATCCCTGAATTTAAGACCAGAAGTCCTGTGTTACAGTTTTGGTGACACCATACACTCACTGTGTGACCTTGGGTTGGTCATATATCCTCTCTGGGGCTATTTCTCCAATTGTGGACAGTTGACCAAATTTAACTAGCCACCTCAAATGGTTTTTGGGAAGACCAAATTAGATAATGTCTATTTTATCTTCCCCAATGGAATGTAAGCTTCTTTAGAACAGGAATTGTTCTGTTTTTATTTTTGGATCCTCACTTATCATCAAGTCTAGCACACAGGAGGGGCTTAATAAATGCTTGCTGATCGACTGGTGTGAAAAGTACTGGGCAGCTCCAAAGTGCTATGAAATAGAAGCTCTTTCCAGCCTCAAGCTACTTCCATATGAAAGTCTGATATTAGTTACACAAACAAAAGACTGTGGAACGTGAAGGCAATCTTGTCTCAAGGTGAAAGAGCAAGTCCATCCAGTCTAGAGCTAAGCACCACTTCAACTCTGTCTGATTGCAGTCGAGACAAGTCTCTGGAGTTTTGAAGTGAAATGCATTCCAGGTACAGAATGATGTTTATGTTGACCCTCTTCCCCTTCTGTGTTTCATACAGCACAAAAAAAGCTTGAATATGCATACTTTCCTCTGCAGCAAAGGGACAGTTTTTATAAACACTACTGTCATTTCAGATTTTAGGCAATTCTGTACACATACCAACATAAAGAATTATTAGGGGCAGCTAGGTAGCGCAGTGGATACAGCACCAGCCCTGGAGTCAGGAGGACCTGAGTTCAAATCCGGCCTCAGACTGAACACTTGACACTTACTAGCTGTGTGACCCTGGGCAAGTCACTTAACCCTGACTTCCTCACCCAAAAAAAAAAGAATTATTACGACTTCATCCTTGCTCTCTGTCAATGCCTAATTTTAAGAATTTTCATTTTTAAATAAAGCATGTGAAGGGCAGCTAGGCGGCGCAGTGGATAGAGCACCGGCCCTGGATTCAGGAGGACCTGAGTTCAAATCCGGTTTCAGACACATAACACTTATAGCTGTGTGACCCTGGGCAAGGAAAAAACCAAGCAAATAAATAAAGCATGTGAAAAATTTTAAAATAATAAGAATAGCATTTTGTGTGGCTAAGCAGCACATTCTAAGAACTGCATCTTTAATTATATGATGTCAACAAGAAAAAGAGATTTCCTGTAACAGGTGAAGTTATTACTTGATCTTTTCAAGCATCAGGAAATAACATCTAATGCTTCATAATGTACCTAAATGGAAAGTACAGAAGATAAAGGAAAATTAGAGACTGGATTATGTATGTCATGCAGAATGCAATGATTACTATACCATCAAATCAGCTCCAATTTTATCAGCAAGGAAAGAGCTTGAAATAGCAGTCATCCTGTATTTGGAACTTTGTTGGGTGTTTGGCCTGAAACTTTAGACAAGTAAGTCACTCTCCTTCCTGGTCTTTAACTTCCTCAGAATATATCTATGTATAAGGGCCCACCTGTGAGTATAAGTATTTGTGTATTTATGTGTGTATATATACATATGTACATATATATCTATATCTATACACACACACATATACGCACATAAAATATCTGTATTGGGGTTCATTCAGGAAATAATAACGTTGTAACAATATAGAAATGCAATAAAAAAGAGCAATGTAAGAAAAACCCCTATGCTGGCAGAATAATTCATCTATTAATTATTCTAGACAAAATCTACAGCAGTGAACACTGCATGAGAATTGCTTTGGCCCAACAGCCAGCGTGATGTCTGTGCCCACAATAAAAAGCTGAGAAGTTTGTACTATATGATGTAATTCTGTTACATGACAATTCCTAAGGACTGCATCATTAAGAACCAACTAAATTACAGGTAAAGTTTACTTTGTGAGAATTTTCTTCAGTACCTGAGTCCTTCTCACTGTGGAACATCCAACTTCTCCTGGACAGCCTTCTCACCCTGGAACACCTTTCTACCAAGCTAGCCCCCTTATTTCATTGGTGAATTCCTCCAGTGGTCTCCATTTTGTGGAGGGATCCAGGTTGGCCAACATCCACTCGCCTCCCCATTCTGCTTCTTACTTTCTAGACTTTGACACTATGCCCCCAAGTAAGTACCTATCTCCCCCTACTTTTTAGCTCCCCTTTGTGTACTACCTTTCCCTCTCAGAATGTAAGCTCCGTGAGGACAGGGATTATTTTTCTTTTCCCCTGTATTTGCATGCCTAGTTCTCAGAACAGTGCTTGGTACATAGGAAGTGCTTAATGCTTTATACAACAGGTATATCCTTGTAAATACTGGATAAATTGTATTTTTGCAAATGCAATTGTTTAAAATGTATTTGAGAAGCCACTTTTTAAAGGAATAATATGGTGAATCATTTCGCAAAGCAAATAATTATCTATTTTGGCTATTTTATAAATTTGGATTTACAGAGATTAATGTTGCTTAAGTGAGGTTGTTGTTATTCAGCCATTTCAATCATGTCTGCCTCTTTGTGACTCCATTTGGGATTTTCTTAGCAAAAACATTGGAGTAGTTTGCCATTTCCTTCTCCAGTTAATTTTACAGATGAAAGTGAGGGAAACAGGGCTAAGTGACTTGCCCAGGGTCACACAGCTAGTAAGCAAGGTGTACTTGTTTAACTGGAAGAGAATTCTTGAATAAATCTTTAAATCATTAGAGAGAACTAGTTCTTCAAGAGAAAGTTATGTCTTTACTCATATAAAATTTAAAATTGAAATTAATAAGGCCTTCATAAGTGGATACACGAAATGCATATTTTTAGGAAGAAAATTATTATTTCATACTTTGAGAGTCCTTGAATGAATATTTTGTTAATTTGGTATATTTAAGTTTATCAAGCTACTTAAATGGTTTCTTCTGCACAGACAATATTTACCAAAATATAAAACCCATAAAACAGTAGAGCTGGAAGGAACCTTGGAAGTCATCTTGTCCAGCCCTTCATTTTATAGATGAGGAAAGTTAGGCCCAGAAAAGTAAAGTGATTTTCTCAAGGTCTCACTGATAGCCAGCAGTCAAGACAGGCCTAGAATTCAGGATTCCTGACACTACCATACTGCCTCATATTATAGTTCAATTCAACACAACAAACATTAAGCCTATGGGCAATAACACACTATACTAGGTGTGGAGAGACCGAAGATAAAAACCACAAGACGCTGCTGCAAAGGAGTTTCTATTTCATGATGTGCCATCCCAGTGGTAGAAGCTTAGCAGGTGCTCAATAAACACCCATCAATTAAGTGACTATGAAGGTCAGGGGTCCTCACACCAAGACTACCTCCAGAATGAAGCAACAACAGATTAGGTTACCAAAACAGATTAATTAGATTAACATAGATTAGTTTAACAAAATTCATACTAATCTTTCAATTCTTTGATACTATTTGCTATTTTTTTCTCTCTCTTTTTTTTTTTGGTCAGTATATCTCAGAATTAATCACTGCATGTTCGTGCTTTTTTGGGAAAAAGGAATCTCCCCTCCTTTGCTGATTTTCCCTGTCCTTCCCTTTTGGATGTGTCTTAAGTTCTTCACTTATTTGTGTGTAATGTTTAGGGTGGACATGGCTTTCTGCTAAAGGAGAGGGAAGTTATTTTGTCTTTTCACCATCATTACACATGGGGCAATATGCTACTTTCTCTTTGGACTAACAACTGTAAAACCTCAAGGATTTATAATTCTGTTACAGTGGGTACTTCTTCCCCCTATAAATCTGTAAACAGTTTTGCTGTGACCAAACAAATTCATCAGCTCTTCAGACAATAAGAAACATGTACATCAAGGGGTCAATACCTGAAGCCTTTTCAGCTTGGTAGGGCTTTTCAGAGCCTGTGCTTTTGAGAACCCAAGGTCACCTCCAGATTAAGATAGTTCACCCAAGTAGGACTTTAGGGGAGGTATAACTGATACAAAGGATAGCAGTAGCAAAGGATGATGATGTTAAAAAATAACATCTACAACACTAAAAAACATTATAAAGCCTCAACAGCCACAACTCATTGGGGACTGAAGGAAGAAGTATCAAAATACTTCTGAATTTGTGATACTCGGCAAAGTTCTGTTTGGGTTTTTTGCTTTTTAAATAAAATAAGTAATACCAATATTCATTAAAAAATTAAAAAAAAATACTGGGTCTCTCTCACCCATCCTGGAAGTACTAGGGCTCCATACTGATGACAAACTTAACATGAACACCCAACTGGCAGCTTACAACTTTTGGGCTCAAGAGATCCACCAGCTTCAGGCATCTAGGGATATAGGCATGTGCCAACTACACTGAGTATTTATTTTTATTTTTTTCTAATTTTTCAAATTTAAAAAACAAATACCAAATAATAAATCATGTAGGGCATGCAGAAAAACCCAATTAATCAGGAGTTACTAATACAAAATAAGTAATAATTTAAGTGTAGAGACTTAAGTTTTCCTTTATACTAATTATGAAAGAAAGGGCTTCCTGAAAAAAAAACACACACACTCACATTAAGGGACTATTTTTGACTTTAGTTGTATCCCCAGTGTTTAGCATACTGTCTGGCACATATTAATAAGTGTTTGTTGATAATACTTCATTTAAGAACACCATTTTTCTAAGAACTTTCAAGCATTTTAGATTGCATACAAAAAACAAATAGGTCAATTGGAAATCAGTCTATCCATTAGTTAAATAGTGACTCCCAAATAAAAAAAATAATAATGACAATAATAATAGCAGCAATAAGAGCAATAACAGTATTTTTGTAGCATTTCAAGGTTTGCAAAGCACTTTATAAATATTACCTTATTTTACCCTTTCAACAATCCTGGGAAGTAGGTACTATTATTACCTCCATGTTACAGATGAAGAAATGGAGGTAGATGGAAGTTAAGTGACTTGTCCAGGGTTAGACAACTAGGAAGCATTTAAGGCATAATTTGAACTCAGGACCTCCTGTGTTTAGTCCAGAGCTTTATACACAGTGCCACCTAGCTGCTCAACTAATAACTATATTGTATTTAATTTGTATATGTTTTGTATTTATTTGTATACGTATAAGTTCCTTGAAGGCAGGAACTTTCATTTTTGTCTTTGTAGCCCCTGCATTTAATAAACGTTTGATTGATTAAAGACAGATCATTTAAGGAACCCTACACTAGCCAATAAAGTTTACCTAATTCTAATGACTACATATACTTAAAAGTAATAAAATGATTTCTCTTCAAAAATACTTTAGAGGGACTTTTAGTAATTCAGACTAGTCTTCCCACTTTAAGCTAGTGTGGTACCACTTTACCCAAGGAATTGGAGGGTAGCTGGGAAGCACGCCTTCAGGGCAAGGCAGAAATCTGAGTGTAACCTGATCCAAGCACTACAAGGACTATGACTGTATCAAAAAGATTTAGCAAAAAAAGATTCACCCTAAAAGAGAAGGGAAAAGCTGAAATCTCCTGACAAGTGAGGAAAAAGAGCTGCATGGAGGGAAGAAAGGACAGTGTCCGGCTGGCAGGTGGTGCTATGGCTGCTACCACCGCCCTGAGTGGTAGTTATTCACTGGGAAAGGCTGTAATTGAAATGGACAGAAGCCACCTGGGGTATGATGAAAAATGGCTGCAGCTGTTCATGTTTTCTTAGAACTAGTGGTGATGGCTTTGGTCCTTAATGTGAAAATGACAAATGAAGAGAGAAATAAGGGAAGAAATGAATATCAGAACTAAGAATAAATATATTTTTGATAAAGTGATTTTGTAAGGCAGCACGGTGCAGTACACAGAGATGGCATTGATGTCAGGAAGACCTGAGTTCAACTCTCACCTCTGACACAAGCAGCCTGTGAGTCTTGGGGCAAGTCACATAGCCTCTCAATGCTTAGGGCACTCTCTAAGGGGATAAGTTGAAAAGCAGGCACTGAACTGCATTGGTGGAGGGAGTTTTCTCACTTGGAGTTCCCCATACCAATGGAAGGTCCAGTCAACAAAAAAATGTGGCTTTTGTGTGTAATTATTATTCAGCAGAGAGCTATATATTTTTCCTTTCAAAGAGTTTTTTCAGATTAATTGGGCTAGATATGAAAGAACTTAGGGTGGCAACATGTTCTAGCAGAAGGGGAAGAGGACTTGGACTCAGAAGGCATAAGCCCAAAGCCCATCTCTATTCCTTATCAGTTCTATGACAGAATAAATCACTTAATCTCTGAGTTTGTAAAATGGAGAATAATAATACTTGCAATATCTACCTCAAAAGGTTGCTGTGAGGAAAGCACTTTGTAAAATATACAATATTATGTAAATATAAGCTGCTATTATTATTGTGGGAGGGTAAAGTCCAATACAATGTAAAGTGTCATTATCATGATCCCTACTCCATTCATCTTCATCTTCTAACAACTTCTCTTCTTTACTGCAGACAAGACACTGTACGACACCTACTGGATACTGGAATGGCCTGGCCTAAGTACTTGCTGTGTGGGCATCTTAAGGCTTTCCACAAGACTATAAATCTATCATGCACATTAATATATGCTGCAATTTACACTGGGTTGTGTTATTTTCCCTCTTTTAAAATTCATGAGTAAGGTTTCCATTTGGTATCCTGTTATTAAGAAAGAAACTTGTCTTCAATAATTGAGAGGAGTAAAGACAATTACAAATACATGCCCACACATAAGATCGATTCATCTATATAGAAACTGCTACATTTTGCATACCTGGCAAATCATCTTCATCCTCACTGAAAACATTAGGGTTGAAGACAGGTAAATTAATATAATCCATGGAAATCTTGCGTACTTCTGGGAGATATATGGTCATCTGCCTAGGCTGAAGATGCAGCAGGCTGGTTTTATAGATTACTAATGGGAAGAAAGAATACAGTGATTGACAGAGACATATTAGGTAAGCAGATTCTAAGTGTCAGAAAATTCATGGGAATAAGAGGAGAAAGGCTGTTAACTCCTTATAACTCTAAGTCAACATATACCAAAGAACTGCAAGATTTCTAATCTTGGCTCGGCCACTGGACCATGATGGGACTTGGGACAATAATGAACTAGATTTCTGAATTCAAACTACAAATTGTGGTTCTAGTTATTAATCTCACAACAAAATCACAAATTCAGAGTATCTTTTAAAAAACAGTTATAAGAAGACATACAACTTAGGTAAGTTATTCAAAACTTTAATATGTACAAAACCAAGTAGAGAATTGATAATAATGATGTAAGAGAATAAAATAACTAATCAGAAGTATAATTATGCATTTTGATGTTTAACAAAGATTGGAAACCATGGAAATTACAGTATAGACTGGACCTCATTAGTATTATAGTTGCTTGTTTGATCTTGGAGTTTTGTACACTGGATTCAATACTTCTATTTTAGTAGATTGTCTAAATTAGAAGATACTAGAAATTCTTCCTGATGTGCTTCATCAGCAACCCACCAAGAAGGGAAAAATGTTGGTAGGTTGCTTATTGGAAGTGCCATAAATAATATTTTGAAGACACAATAATGGTTCTCAGTGGCACATCTCAATAATGAATGAGTCCCAGAAGCAGCAGGGAGGACTGGAGAAATGACACTAAGGCAGTGGGCAAGATTTTTCTAAACATCTATTGTCTTCCCTCCTTTGAACAGGGTAATTTTTATCTAGAAGACCCCGATTACTGATTACTGGTACTTTGCGAAGTGTTTGAATTCATGTTGCATAAATTATCAATTTGAAATTAAAATTTCACTCAGCCTCTTTAAATAGGATTAAAGTAAATTAGGCATAGCAGAAAAATATGCAAGGCCAATCCATAATTCAAAGACTTATGTCAATATTATCATGAGAGAGTCACTCCTCTACTCATTTTGCCACATTGATGGGATGAAGGGTAACCTTAGAATTGCTTAAATTTGCATTTATCTTATTGTTAGTAATTTCCTCCTATGTTAATTCATAAATTCAATTTCTTCTTTTATAACTTGCCTTCTGACCACTTACCTACTGGGGAACGAATCTTATCTTACGTATTTATATTAGACTCTATATCTTGGATTTCAGAAAATTGCTGCACTTTTCCCTTCCCTTCTAACTTTAACTACATTGATTCAATTTGTGCAAAAACTTTCAATGTTACGTAATCAAAAATTTCAATTTTATCTCCTAAGATCTCTGCTATCCTTCGCTGGGTTAAGAATCTCCCCTTTAATCATCATTATGGAAGGTATTTCTATTTCCTGATCCTCTAATTTATGACATAATCTTTTATAATTAAGTCACACATTCATTTAAAGTTGTGTGAGATGTTGCTCTGAGTCTGTTTTCCCACAGAGGTTTTTATTTTTCCAAGTAGTTTTTGTCAAACAGTGAATCCTTATTCCAGCAGCTTCAGGTCATTAGTTTTCTTCAGTTTATTAAAAAAAAAAAGCCATGTTATTATGCTTTAGGAACTTGTATACCTAATCTGTTCCACTTATATACTTAAAATATTTTTAAATGAGTACCAAATTATTTTGAAGACTACAGCATTGTATTATTGTTTAAGATCTGAAACTTTTAGGTCCCCTTTCTTTGCACTTAAAAAAATCGTTTCTTACAAGATTCTTGACCTTTTGGCACCTCCAGAAGAATTTTGTTATAATTTTGTCTTGTTGTATAAAGTAATCACTTAGTAGATGATAGGAATAGCATTTATTCTGCAAATTAATACACGTAGTAATGCTTTTTTTTTATTACATTAGCATGGTACAATTAGGAGCAATTAATTCTCCAATTATTTAAATATTTATTTCTGTAAAGAGTGTTTTGTAGTTGCATTCATATAATTCTTGTGTACGTCTTCATGAACACACTTCCAAATATTCCATACATTTTATAGTTATTTTAAATAAAAATGTCTTTTTCTATCTCTTATTTCTGGGTTTGTTGGTAATATCAGAAAGGCTAAAGAATTCTGTGGGATTATTTTATATCCTACTGTTTCACTAATGTGATTATTTCTGCTGATTTTTAACTGGGTCTCTAAGTAAATTAAATCATCTGCAAAAAAAATGCTCATTTCATTTTTTCTCTGCTTATGTGCATTTTCTCATTTCTCTTTCTTGCCTTATTGCCATGGGTAGCATTTATAAAACCATTTCAAATAACAGGATGAACAATGGCTATCCTTACTTTACCCAATCTAACTGCAAAGGTCTCTTAGCAATTTTCCTTCACTGATAATGCTATTTACTCTATTTAGGAAAAGTCCACTTATTCTTTCCAATATTTGCTAGTACTTTTTTTTAACATAAATTGGTGTTATATTTTGTCAAAAGCCTTTTCTGAATCTATTGCTATGATCATATGATTAAATGTTTTGTTATTAATATGGTTTATTATATTTATAATTTTCCTAATATTGAACCAACCTTGCATTCTTGGTTTAAATCCAACCCTGAAATAGTGTGTTGTTGTAGCCTCTTTGCTAATATTTTTAAATTTAAATTTAAATTTTTTATTGAATATTTTCCCATCAACATTCATTAGAGATAATTATCTAGTTTTTTTTTTCTAACTTAGTGCTCCCTGGTTTGGGTATTGGGACCATATTTGTCTCAAAGAAGGACTCTGGCAGGATGACAGCTTTTTCCTATTTTTGCAAATATTTTATATAATTTTCCTTTGTATGTCTGATAGAATTCGCTTGTAAAATCATTTGACCTGGGATTTTTGGGGGAAAGAATTTCTCTATAATTCACTTTCTCTCTCTCTTTTTAAAAGACTGGGCTATCTAAATTCTCTATTTCTTAATTAACTTGAGTATTTTATATTTCTGTAAATATTATTTCATCTTATTTATGAGATTTATTGACATAATTGGGCAAAATAGTTTCAAATTATTTCCCTGTCCTTTCTTTTCCTGCATTTCAACTGTTCATAAATAGGCAAATAATGCCTAACAGATGGAGATGAATGCAAAAGACTAACATCTGATTTATGAAAATTAGTTATGCTGGAAGATGGCTTGCCTAAGACCCAGGATTTGAAAATCACACTGAACAAAACTAATAAGAAGTGAAGAAAGAAGAACCAAAAGAATGACACATATGACGACGCAATAGTGTAAATGAAAACAACTTTAAAATGACAACAGAATTTGGATAAATATAATATATACGTCATATATTTGGATAAATATAATATATAACATATAAAATATGATATATAATATAATAAATTTGTATATATATAATATATTTGCATAAATATAGTAGTCTCAAGAAGATATAGCTTCACACTTTCCTCAGCAAGATAATATCAAAGATCAAGGATACAAAATGCTACACACACCATCAGATGGAGGTGCTATAAAGATGTTTGCTTAACTCATTTTCTTGTTAGAAGAGAAAGTTCTATAGGAGATATTGGAAAATATTTAAAAATTAAAATTAAAAACAAAAAGCGTCAATAAAACATTTTTAAAAAGTTACAGATAACTTATTAAGACCAAATAGGAATCAGTCTTCCATTTGAGAATTGTGGTAATATGGTGTCATGTTATACTTCAATGAAGAACTACGTTCTCTTGAGTGACAACGCAGTAAGAATAATAATGGTTGTCAATATGATTTGTCAAACCAACGAGAGACCCTGTGTAATGATTTGTTGTTGTTGTTCAGTTGTTTCAGTCATGGCCATTCTTTGTTGACCTCATTAAGGGTTTTCTTGGCAAAGGTACTGCAGTGGTTTGCCATTTCCTTCTCCAGCTCATTTTACAGATGAGGAACTGAGGCAAAGAGGGTTAAGTGACTTGCCCAGGGTCACACAGCTAGTGTTGGAGGCCAGATTTGAACTCAGATCTTTCTGACTCCAGACCTACTACTCTCTCCACCATACCACTTTACTGCATGTTAGGATGAAATTGCCCTAAAAACAATCCTTTGGTATAAATCTTTATACTTAACATACATATCTATTTATTATTATTAATGAAGCAATCAATGTAGACAAGGTGAATGAGCAAATAATATGCCTGAGATCTATGTTCTCTGGTCCAGTTTTGTCTCTAATTTATTCAGTGACCCTTGGGTAAGTTTTTCACTTTTTCCCTTAGACAACATCTATGGCAAAGATAACATAATTTTTCCTTAAGAAGACTAATTTATCAAGCTCAAGACTGTATTTATTAAGAACTGCCACTATGGAATTTTTTTTTTTTTTGGCAACTGGGGTTAAGTGACTTGCCCAGGGTCACACAGCTAGTAAGTGTCAAGTGTTTGGTCTGAGGCCAGATCTGAACTCAGGTTCTCCTGACTTCAGGGCTGGTGGTCTATCCACTGCACCACCTAGCTGCCCCATGGAATTTAACAATAATTGGCCACATAATCTTCTACTAATGTTTGCTCTTTAGCACCAAGATATCTTTCTTACTTTCCTTGGTATTGGGTTTCTTTTGACTTATGAGTTTGGAGATAATCAGTACCATGAAGATATCAAAAACAAAGGTTCAAAAAACAAAATCCAAAACTTACTTGTGGCTTTAATGAGATGTTATTTCTGTTACTTTAATCATAATCAAGTATCAAAAAATGAAAAGTCTAATGGCAAAAAAAGCCCTTTCTAAAATCAATTCACATCATCTTTTTTTATGAGTTTTAAGAAATTATATTCCTAAAAGGAAAGGGATAAGCATTTACGCAATGCCTCTTTGTGGCAGGCATTTGCTAAGCACTGTACAAATAAAATCTCATTTGATCCTCACCAACAACCCTGTGAAGTAGGTACAGTTTTATCCACATTTTACAGGAGATGAAACTGAAGCAAAAAGTTAAGTGACTTTCCCAGGGTCACAGAGCCAGTAACTGTCTGAGGCTGGATTTGAATTCAGGTCTTCTTGACTACAGTTCCAATTTTCTATTGATTGTGCCACTAGCTCAAGACTGAAGGCAAAATAAAACTGCAGAACAACAGTAGCAGAGCAGTCCATTTTCCATTTCAAAACCAGATATGTAGATTAACAGATAGAGAACATCAAATAAATTTTTACCTGCACCAAGGTTAGTTGGCAGGAAAGTAGCCAAACCTACAATCTTAAATTTGGTTCCCCAGATATTAGATGTAACCTGAGCAAGATAGTTGTGCTGTGAAGAAAAGAAAAGAAGAATCACAAACTGATTTACTATTTTATTATTTTCCAAGAGCACTGAATACTATAATCAATTTTAAAAGCAAAATATTTCTCAGAACAAATATCAGCTCTCTAATACGTTCCGTTAGACGCTGCTCCTTTTCAGGGCTCTAGTGTGCTAAGTAACACAGAAGAATCCCTTCTTCCTTTGGAACAAAGAGAAAAATACCTTATTTGGGAACTTGTCTTTAATCTTATTGTGCTGTCTTTTCCACTTTTCCTTTAGCTGGCCACCATAACTCTATCTGAAAAACCAGCCTGGAGATGTATTATGACTTTGAAGCCTACTTCCCCACTGAAAACTGCTTGGACTTAATGTTACATAATAAATCTTTATTAGTAAGTCTACATTGCTATTAAATACTACACAAATACTACATTGCTAATCTTCTTATAATAGCCTTACTTCACACTTCGTAACTGCAGGTGAAGGGCCAGTCTACTTCTCTAACCATCAGCCAGATTTGATTACTATCTCCTACTCAAAGAACATTTATTTAACATCACTACTTTCTTTGCACCACCCTTTCATTTGCAACCTGGAAATGGAAAGGCTAGAGGAAAGAGAGCATCTCACACTTTATCTTTGATCATTTCTGAGACTTACTGATACTGTAATGTCCATAAATCACCTCTCTCCACCTCACCAGCAGTCACCAAGTAAAAAACAAAAGCAAACTAAAGGAAGCATGTCGTGTTTATCAAAATCAGACAGGTGTCGTGGATACAAAAAAGACAATGTGAGAGCCTGGAAGGCACATGCTACCTGAGTGATATCTTCTAATGGAAACTCTCTCCGAGTTAGGCTTGGTGAGCCAATTGAAGGTTTCCTAATTGGTAACCTTGGAGACCTGGATATCTCTTGAGCAGCTCGGGATAACTTTGGAGATTTTCGGGCTTCAATGTTGATTCTGCCAGAAAGCAGGGTCAAATATGATTAGATGCTCACAGGTAAAAATATTTAAACTACACAATCACTTACCAAATACTTGTCTCAAATCTACAAATTGACTTTTAATCCTCTCTTTCCACGTTAAACAATCATTTGTCTTTCTCATCAATGGACAGTCCTAAAGGCTAGGCTCTCAGTCTAACACAATATGTCAGTGGCATGATATCCTATTTCCTTTGCTTTGTGAGGAAGAAAAGAAAACAATGAATGACTTTTATCCAAATATATGACATCTACAATTCCTTCCAAGATGTTTTGATACTAGATGATACAGCAGATAGAGCACTGGGCCTGGAAAGACCTGAGTTGAAATGCAGCCTTAGACACCTACTAGCTTGGGATCCTGAGAAAGAACATATGCATATGTATCTATATATGTATGCATGCATATATGTGGCCTCTGCTGGGAATACAACAGAACAACAGAAAAACAGAACTAAAGATGATGAGGAAGAACGTGGGAGGAAAACATTTACTCTCATTAATATAGAAAAAAAACATAAACCAAAAATTTATGTCCTTCATTGTTACACTGTTACTTGATGCAACATACTTGATTTTAACAGATTGCCTTAATGTTTTTACTACTAGCAACACACTTGAGCAAATCCCTGAGGATCAGTTTCTTCATTAAAATATGAATATAATAGCATTTAATGTGAATCTTTCCCTAAGAAAATGTTATAAAGCTTAAAATTAATACTCATAAAATACAATAAGAGAGGTTACTTTGCTTAACTGTTTGGCAGCTATAACAATTCAATACATAATGCCTTAAGAAAAGCAAAGTGCTTTCCTCATAACAGTCCTGTGAAGTAGGTAGTGCCAATAGCATTATTTCCACCTTACAGATAGAGAAACTCAGCCAAGAGGCTAAGTGAGTTGCCCATTATCACATAGCTAGTGAGTTTCTGGGCAAGGCTTTGAATCCTCATCTGACACAAAATTCTAGCACTCTACCTATTACATCATGAGGTCATGAGCCTATCAAACAAGGTAATGAAGGCTTACAAAAAAGGCTTAACTATGTTGTGATAGTGCCTCATTTAGGTGGGAAAGATGGGCTACTGAGGGGTCAAATGCCTAGATCATAAGACCAAGCACCATACTGATGATGTCAGAGCATTTTAGAACAGGACAGGATTTTTGTGAAGATCTAGTACAACCCTCTCATTTCAACAAATGAGAAAACTGAGACCCAGGGAAGGTAATTAGCTTGCTGCTCACAATCACACGGCTAGTTAGTAGCAGAGTTGGAAAGAATGCCCAGGTCTCCAGACTTCCCACTGCTTTGCTCTTTCCACTAACTGCACTCATTACCACAATGCTTTGTTAGTCTTTAAGACAATTCCTTAGGGAGCCAGCAGCCACTAAAACATTTTTCTTTTTAATATATTTTTTTCAATTAGAGGGTTTATAGGCATTTCATCTAAATACTCTCCATAATGTTAGACAAATTATGCCCTATCTTTGCTTCTAATTTGAGACAGAAAAAGTGAGTCAGAGTAATTATCACTAGTAACTACAGAGAAGAATTTCAAGGGCTAGATAGGTTTCCTAACTGAGTGACTTTTCTGTATAAGAAAAAACAAAACCCAAAGCTCTAATTTTATCTAGTAGTGATGGGGTGGGGCCCTGGGAAACCCCTCCCTGAACTTGAGTTTTCTCCTTTTCCCACAAGGTCAAATCTCTGGCATTCACCTGAGGCTATAATCCTGCCAACTGCCCTATCATCGTAGCATGCCCAATCTCCCAATTCTTCCTTCCCTCGGGATTGCCCCTGGCCACTTCCTACCCTTAATCCTATGTAGACTCCATTCTCCTTGGGCCACGTGGTCCAGATCCTTTGCTTTCTCTGTTACCTCACAGTCACCCCAGACTTACTTGGTCACTCCTAGATCCCTCCCACAGTCTCTTTGTATATAAGATCCATCTTGGCCTCCATTAAGGAGCTCAGATTCTTAAAATCTGGCCAGTAGTGTAGACTCACTGGGAATCTAGCTCACCCCAATCAGTGTTCTAATAAATCATGTCTTTGGCTAAAAGAAGACTTGGGTCGAATTCATTTGGGCAGGACCTGCATGTTGCTATTTCAGGGTCCTAGCACTCCTACACCTCAACAGTAGAATATAATGAAAGATCTTATAAAAATCCTTCCCTACTCCAGCCCTCATCCACTGCTGTGACAATTACAATGACAAGTAATGATGTTTGAATATACATATGTGTGTATATACGTGTGTGTGTGTGTGTATACGAATGTACAGACAGATACTTATACAAGAAGACACACAAAATCTTACAAAAAGTTGAGATTACCTGGGGAGTTTAGGTGATTTGCTAGCCCGAGAGATTTTGGGAGATTTCTTGGCAGCCCAATCATCACTCAGCTCAATATCACTGGAGTCCGAACAGTTACAACTGTCAATCATGGTGGAAATCAAACTGTTTCCATAGATTTCATCTGGGAAAATAGAATATCCTACCAAATTTAAGTGAATTATGGTAATGTTATGATAACACTCTATTCAAAAAACATTGTGTCCAACAGATTGTCTCTATAAGGTAAGTCCTTTCACTTACTAAGGCTGGATGTAGAGAAGCGTATATTCTTTGGGGAATGAGGCTGGTGATTTCAATTTAATGCCTCATAGAATGTGCAAAATAGTATGGCATTTTTTTATTCTGTTAACTGCTGGAACCAAAATGGCTAGATTGTCTATTATGACTTAAAATCTAGGAGATATTCAACTGAGTTCATATCTGGCTGTCAGACACTTCTCTGGAATTTATGGTAATTCTAGGACCAATGGAGCCTTCAGGGCTGGCCCCAGAGAGCTTGCTCTCTTTGTTAAATGTTGTGGGAGGTTTTATACCAGGTCCCAAGCATGCTAGGGATGCAAAGAAAAAAGGATCAAATTCAGGGATTCTCAAGGTATTGAGGATGTATTTATTTATAACATTACTAATTACAAAAAGAACAACAAAACTATTTGCTGAGAATGAAGCTGGGATGGCAGCAAGTCCAACCTATGTGATTCAAAAGATCCTAGCTGTAGGGGTATATTTGTACAGAATGCTTAAATAGATCTGAACAGCAGCAGGAGTCAGATCCTCTAAGGTTACTCTGTCTAGCCAATTCCAGATCACCTTGCCAGGTGGCTGTCCTTGGTCTAAGTAAAATACTACTAAGGCAAAAGTAGTGGGGCAAGTGTTTTTCAGTGGAAGGAGCCTTGAGCAAAATTACATAGTTTTTAGATTGTCTTTGGTACCCTTCCCACCACCCTTTCTGTACTTTATGGCCTATCTTTAGAGCTCCAGAACCGTCTAAAGCTATCCACTTCATTTTTTGTAGCTCACTCAGGTTTGTCATCCCCTAAAGGACTCCCTGAAAAGGACCCACATGTACAAAAATATTTATAGCAGCTCTTTTTGTGGTGGCAAAGAACTGGAAATTGAAAGGATGCCCATCAATTGGGGGAATGACTGAACAAGTTGTGGTATATGAATGTAATGGAATACTATTGTGCTATAAGAAATGATGAGCAGGCAGACTTCAGAAAAACCTGGAAAGGCCTACATGAACTGATGCTGAGTGAAGTGAGCAGAACCAGGAGAATATTCTATACAATAACAGCCATATTGTGTGATGACTGACTTTGACAGATTTGGCTCTTCTTAGCAATGCAAGGATCTAAGACAACTCCAAGACTCAAGATGGAAAATGCTATCCATATCCAGAGAAATAACTATGGAGTCTGAATGCATATGGAAGTATACTATTTGCTCTCCTCTTCTTTTGTTGTTTTATTTTATCGTTTTATTTATCTCATGGCTCCTCTCATCAGTTCTAATTCTTCTTTACATCATGAATAACGGGAAAATATGGGAAGGGGAAAGGAGAGGAAAGAGGGAAAAAATTTAGAACTCAAAATCTTATAGAAGTAAATGTTGAAAACTAAAAATTAATTAATTATTGAAAAAGAAAAAAAGAAAAAAAAGTACTCCCTGGCGATTAAGATTGCCATTATCTCAAAGACAATAATCTTAGATCAGCCTTAGGTGGAAAATAAAACAAAAACAGGATCAAAGTATTCACAGTAAGATGCAAAGACTTACAGGTTTATTGGGAAATCTGAATTTTAAGCCTCCCTTCTTAGCTCAAAAGAACTAATAAAAAAAAATGTGAGGAAGGGTAGTTTCTCAGACCAAGGACTTTTGGGGCAACCCTTGTTTAACCCAGATTTTTCTCCTTCTAAAAATCCAAATGATTCTGTTATCTCACTTCTGAAAGTTTGAAACATTGCTCAAATCAAATTCATCACTGAATCAGAATTCATCTGATTTAGGTTTTATATATTTTCAGTAAACAAGATGCAAAAATTTAATTCATAAGTTTTGTGAGTCTTTTTTTTTTTTTGGCTAGGCAATGGGGTTGACTTGCCCAGGGTCACACAGCTAGCATTATGTGTCTGAGGCCAGATTTGAACTCAGAGCTTTGTGAGTCTTAAACACATATTCCAGTTTTGATGGGAGAAGGAACAAGAGGAGAAGAAAGCTTAAGAAGAAAAAGGAACTGTGAAAGCACTTAGGAGAGCTTTGGAATTTTGAAGGACAGAGAATTTGGGAGAATTTAGCAGAAACTGAAGAAAAATGAAAATAAAGACTCCAACTGAAGGAAAAGCATTAGAACTAAAGAAAAAGAAGGACTAGAACTGAAGACTAGGGAAATAGAAAAGTACTAGTGCAGAAGGACATGAAAAGGAAGAAGAGGTACAGGGTGATAAGAGAAGGATTTCAGCTAAGGGAAAAGGATGAAGGCTCAGGATAGGAGAGGTAGTTGTGTTATGAGAATTTTTTATTTCTTTTTGTTAATTTTAATATGAGGGAGGGGAGTTTCTCCTAGTTAGAAGGTTAATGAGCTGGCTGAAATCTGCCCTATGAAATGTGAAAATTCACTTAAGGTCTCAAACATTTCTCAGAGAAGAAGTTAAAAGGGGAGCCAAAGCTTGCCTCGTTTGAGGATCCCAACTCTCTCCAACTGTAGCTATCTTTGATATAGGTAAATCTTGCCTCTCAAGTGGCCCTTTGTGAACCCTCCAAGCATATTTTAATCTGTAACTTGACTTAGTTTATCTATAGAGTCTGTTTTACTAGATCTGTTTCCTTAGGGGACATATGAAATTATGATCTTGTTTAACTTAGTTTGTTCAACTTTTATGACCTAAGAGGACATATGAAGTTGTTGTATGTCAAAAATTATTTCTCTTTCTCTCTAATGTATTTTTTGTCTTTAAAAAGCCTCCTAAAAATCCTAATCTTTGATCAGAGTTATTTTTCTGAATCCTGAACCTGTATTCAAGCATAATAAAAACTAAGCTTGTGCCTCAATGATTTATGCATTATGATAGATTTATTCAACAGCAGTAACTTACCACACAAACTCAAAGGAAAATATTTTTCCCATAACAATTGGTAAGAAAAGTTAAGAAGTGAGTGAAAAAAGGAAAAGGAAGCTAAACGTGGCTGTCAAATTGTTAATGAGGTACTGACAAGTGGGGAAGAAAGCTCTATACTTAGAAGGTATAGAGATGAGAAATGGATGATAATTTAGCAAGACAGATCATGAAGTAGTGGTCAGACACAGGAGGGAACAGTTTCCTTCTCTATACTGGTGTAGGATATTTACAACTCATAAAGTCAGAATTATATTCACATTCTAAAGAAGCTTTCTATATAATGCTAAACAAGAATTTCTGGGTTCTGATTTCAGAAGACAGACAATTTACCTGAAGTAAAATTTGGTTTTAAATTTCAAATACAAAATAATATCACCATTTTTATTATTGTATAGCCACTGTAGTCTTCCTTAACCAGAAAATTCATAGGGGGGCAGCTAGGTGGCGCAGTGGATAGAGCACCGGCCCTGAAGTCAGGAGGACCTGAGTTCAAATTTGACCTCAGACCAAACACCTGACACTAGCTGTGTGACCCTGGACAAGTCACTTTACCCCAACTGCTGAAAAAAGAAAAAAAGAAGAGAAAAAAGAAAATTCATGCAACTGCAAAAGCCACTAGGCATCTAACATCACTCCTTAGAACCTAACTGCAATTTAAAAAAATCTTAAAAGTCTGCCCAAGTTTGAATAAAATTAGCTGTGCTGAGGAATTTAGTTATTGGTACTACATTTAAAGGCAGCTGGGTGGCTCCGTGGATAGAGCACTGAGCCTGTAGTCAGGAAGACCTAAGTTCAAATCTGACCTTAGACACTAGCTATGGGACCCTAGGCAAGTCACTTAACCTCTGTTTGCCTCAATCCACTAGAGAAGGAAATGGCAAAACACTCCAGTATCCTTGCCAAGAAAACCCCTTGGACAATATGGTCCACAGGGTCACGAAGAGTCAGACACAAATGAATGAATGAACAACAACTAATTTTGAAAACTAATTTTCTCCAATTAGGTCTCCAACTGAACTTTCAAAATTATAGAGTGTATAAAGAATCTGAAAATCAAGTTTACAAGGAAAATGATATTAAACCATTGGAGCCAAACCTTGGCAATAATTCTAGAGTAGAACAGCTTTTTACAGATGCTATCAAAGGTAATGCTGAACAGACACAATACTTCCAATAACTGAAATATACTCAAGGGGAATATGAAAATGTAAACCTGATGAAAAAGAGGATATATCAAACTCTAATTTTCTGAAAGTATATACAAAAAAATTCTTGACCATAGACTATGTATTACATTTTGGTGCTATAAATTTTAAAAAAAAAAGTTTAGATTCATAGGCCTGGGAAGAGAAAATGAGAGATTTATGCTCTAGCTTTAAGAATTTTTATAAATAAATACTTTGATATTCTAAACAGGGTAATCTACTATGACCCCATGTTAGAATAGTATTTTCTACAAATATTATATAACTCTTTAAGCTTTCTAATAACACTCTCCCCACAAAAAAGGCATCCCACCTGTTTTGCCATCTGTTTTTGGATCCATGATGACGAATTCTGGTCGAAGTTTGCTAATACGACGCCCTTTCAGGATGGGTACTAATCCACCAAGATATTCCAAGTAGAGTGTATAACAAGGGCCCCCTACTTCTGGATCATCTTCGGTCCGTTTCATGGTACAATGGAGTCTTTCATTACCGGCAGTTGGGTAGCTGACAAAGTCTCTCATGTTGTTGGGGTCTGGGATAGGGGGCTAAAGGTAAGAATAGATGTTACTTTAGTGAAGGGAGATAAAGAAAGAAAATTAAGGTCAAAATAGTTTCTTTTTAAAAGGAAACTCCTTTTTCATTATTGACAAACAACACTGCCATTCCTCCATTTTTGACAAAAAATTCTGATGCTAAGATTTCAAGTACTGGCCAGAAGATAAGCATCAATTGTGCTGAGATGGCAAAAGATAAAAAACTGTATTTCAAAATCTTTATAGAATACCAGTCTGCAACATAACTTAACACATTCAATCATGCACTTCAATTTCTTTGGGGAAGGTAAGTGGTAGGATAAGACAGTGGCAGCTATGTTATGAATGTTAACTTGGACATATGACCTGAAAGGGACAACATCGAAAAGGGTGTTCGATTTTTCATCAGGAGTTTAAATACCAGTTCTTGTTCTTTCTTTTTTTCTCAGGTGACAAGTAATTCTTTTCTCTCCCTTACACTCCTACAAACCCCAATCAAACGATTAAAAAAAGGAAAAATAAAATCCTCCTAACAAATCAGCACAGATGAAACATTCCCCTATTGGCCATGCATGTCTGAATCTTCATTTTAAGGACATCAGCCTTCTTAAAGGCGATGGGGAGCATGTTTCAACCTAGGTCCTTGCACTGAGCAAAGTTCTAGTTCTTCTACTTTCTAGTTGAGTCCTTTGCTGGGTCTCTGTTTCCTCTTCTATAAAACAAGGATACCACTTATACTTCCTACTTCACCATCTGATCCTCACAACAACCATGTGAGGAAGATGCTCTTATTATCCTCATTTTAAAGATGAGGAACTTGAGACATAGAGAGGTTAAACAACTTTCCCAGGGGCACAGATATTAAGTGCAGGATTTGAACTCAGGTTTTCTTGATGCCAAGTACAGCAGTATATCCACTGTGCAACCTAGCTGCTTCATGAGAAATAAGGATTAACACTGATATTAAATGTAGCAAGCAGGAAAATACAATAGGACTTTGCCCCCACTTGCCATTTTAATTTGCTCTTTAGCCAGCATCAGTAGGTGGGTCTACTTTCTTTGATCCATCAGCTGTCTCTCCCCTTTATTAGCATGCCTTTTGGAAGGGGTGTGGAGGAGAGGGAACAAGATATGTAAGTCAAGAGGAGTGAGGCGTTAAGTTCACTTTACCTTAATTGTTGGAATGAAGGCAGTAGTGAGGTATGAGCACAGCCTTGGTGGCAGGGTTAACTTGCTGATATCCTTGTCATCCCTAATGGAGCTGGCAATAGCCTGCTGGCACAAGAGCTGAAGACTAGAGACCCGGTGTTCTACACGAACCACATACAAGGCAGGTCCAGATGCCATAAGTAGGCGTGAGTCCCGGTGGCCCCAACAAATTGAGATTATGGGACGCTGTAAAAAGAGAATATTATAAAAGTTCACTATTTTCATTAAGTGGGAGGGTCAGGTTCCCAAACCTTTTCACAAAACCTATTAAACCAATAATGTATCTGAACTGTATATTTAGAATGCTAAATTTGGTTCCCAAGAATATCTATTCTTTGACAACAATGCACAGGGAAATACCTGCTCCTTGAGAGTAGGAATTATGAGATTTAAAACTTCTGTATACCCAGTGCCTAGCACATAGCAGGTACATATGTGTGTATACGTACATGTACAGAATTAAACTGTACAACAGTTTACAGCAAAAGTAGGGTCACCATAGCTTCACAGTACTAGCTTCTGTTGCCTGGGGAAGAAGCTGTGTGAGGGCAAGGCAAGGTAGTGAGGTACTGAAAAAAAATAAAAATTTTCTTTCTTTTTACTGTAATGGATTACTATAGTAGGAAAAGGTCAAGGGGAAAGCTTGGGGAAGGAGAGGAGGAAGAAGAGTTTGGAGCAATTTCTAATGCTTCACTTTCTATCTTCTGTTTCCCCTTCTTCACAACTACTGACAATGTGGCCATAGATGGTGTACTGACAAGACAGGGTGTTGAAAGTGAAATCTGTGGTTCCTACATAAATCAAGATTGCTTCTCTTGAGAAAATCCTAAGCTTGAAGCTGCTATTTGATAAGATTAGTAATGGGAAGAAAATACAGGATAATTTATTAATTCTCATCCCAGCATATGGAGTTTCAACTAATGCCTTGAGGGGTTTCAAAGATCAGAAGCTGGGCACCACGTATTTTATTTTTTAAAATAAGTTTTTATTGATATCTTTTGATTTTTCACATCACCATAATTTCCTCTAGTATACTTCCCACTCCTCCTCTTAGGCAGTCATCCCATAAATGAGAAATTTTAAAGACAAAAAGAGGAAAAATCACCATAACTGCTAAACATATCCAAAAAAAACCCAAACAAAAAACTACGTGCAACGAACAATGCTTATCAAAAGGATAGGATGAGATTGTTTTCTTATACTTTTCTTTCCAGTCATGCTTGTTCTTTATAATTCTGAAATACTGACTATTGATTTCCTTTCATGGTTTTCTTTTTTTGTTTGTTTACATAACTGTAGTCACTGTGTATATTGTTTTCTTGGCTCTGCTTAATTAACTCTGTAATCAGTTCACGTAGAGATTTTTACGCATATTTATCATATGCATAATTTCTTACAAATACAAATGACTGTTAGAATTATTCAAAAACAGTGAGGGGTACTGAAATCTCATGCAACTATTGGATTACTGCCCATGTCTTCTTAAGAGTTCTGTTATTTTTCTTTTATGAATTTAGATACTGACTTTAAATAAGTTTAATATTGATTTCGGTTTCCTATGGTTCCTTTAAATACAACGTAGTTTCCTTGTTAATCCATTTTTATGTTGTGAATGTTCATTTTTGGTTCAGTAATTTGATTGCAACTATTGCTTTTTTTTTGACTAACCTGATGCATAGTAAATATATTTTTTCCTGGCCTTTAATTATTTTGTGATTAACTTTGTTTTTAGATGTGTTTCTTAGACTTAATCCATTTCACATTTGAGTTATGAGAATTAGGTTTATTTACTCTGTGTGTGTGTGTGTGTGGTGTCTCCCTCTCTCTCTCTCTCTCTCTCTCTCTCTCACACACACACACACACACACACACACACACACACACACACACACGTTTTCTCCTCTTTCTCTGCAAACATAATACTTTTTGTCTTTAGTTGTTTGGGTCTTTAAAACAACCTCATTCCCATTACTTCTCTCCATACTCCCAAGGTGCCCCCTCCCCATTTTTTACCTTTTCCCCTACTTCTGCTTGCCTTGTTAGTTTCTTTTTTTTGCTTTTATGTATTTATTTTATTCATCCTCCCTCTTTTTCCCTCTGTTAAATAGTCAAGTAAAATTTCCCTTCCTCTCCTGCCCTTTAACTTATTTAAACTTTTGCAATTTCATTCTCTAGGAGAATGGGAGGGGAGGCAAAAAGAGAGACTGAAACAAGGAAACTTTCGTTTCAGTGGTGGGAGGGAATTGTTCAGTCATTTCAATCATTTCCAACTCTTCATGGTCCCATTTAGCTTCCTTGGCAAAGATACTGGAGTATTTTGCCATTTCCTTCTCCAGCTCATTTTACAGATGAGGAAAGTAAGGCAAAGAAGGTTAAGTGACTTACTCAGGGTCCCACAGCTAGTAAGTGTCTGAGGCCATATTTGAACTCAGCTCCTCCCGACTCTAGGGCTTTATCCACTGGGCCACCTAGTTGTCCCTATCTTTTTCTGTTTCTTTGGAGAGACTTGCCACTGTGGATTCAAGTTTTTCTCTTCTGTCAGTTATTTCTGTTGCTAAGGTCGTAAATTCTGCTTTCAACATCCTTATTTCGTTTTTAAACCATTCATGAACATCTTGTTCCATGACAGCTTGGGAATTCATAGGGTCCTCTGCTTCATCATGTGTTAATTCATTTTCCTTTGTGTTGCAATATTTATTCATTGATGACTGTACTCTTTTAGCTTATCTGGAAGTTAATGTTGTTCTGTTATTAATATATTCTCTGTTAATCTGCTTATAAACAAAGTCTTTAATTGAGTTTTCTTCCTCCTGAGATCTTTGGCAATTTTTGTCATTTTTCTTTATTATCCTCTTTTGCTCACTTTTTGATTCCTTCCTCTCTGATGGCAGTTTCCCTTGATACTGGATCTCAACATCTCCTTCCAAGCTGGGCAACTCAGATTTCATCAGCCTCAGTCTCTGCCCCAAATAACTTTTGCAGGAATAGAACTGGCCCCACACGAATGCTGGGTTCTTTCTATTAAGTTTAGTGGAGTGCCAAACTGTCCTGTTTCAGTTCTCAATGTTCCTCAGTTCTTTGACCAAGTACTTTCAAGTTAAGAATGCTGCCTTTGCTGCTGTCACAGTACAAATGAGTTTCTGCTTTTAAATTTTCCCCAGCACTTATGCTCTGTTGTAAGCCATGTGCAGGCTCTTGAAGTCCACTGGGTTTTTACATCATTTGAATATCTTGGTGGTCTAGATCACTAAGACAGCTAAAATAGTTTCATTTCTTGTGCATAATTTCTACCTTGTAGAAATCGGGGAGGTCACGAGGATCACAGAAGATGTCTAGTCTTCTATCCTAATGGTCACATGGCTCTGAACATGCACCATACATTTTATATTTGTAAGGGGGGTGGCCCTCAACTGAGTCCATAAATTATTCCATCTTTCCTAAAATAAGTGACAAGATGTTATATTCCAATACCTTTGTTAGTTAAGACTAAGTAAGCAGAGGTATGAACTAGCTGTAAACAAAAAGTAGGCACCAATCAATAATTATGTTTTCACCTAAGCTTGAAAAATCCTTAAAAACTTCAAAGCCATTATTAGATGAAGTGAAATGAAATCACAAAGAAAGTGTTTTCAGCTTCACTAAGGAAACTTAGTCATGTCCTAAGTATCTTATAAAATAAAGTGTGTTCAGCTTGACTAAGGAAACTTAAGTAATGCCCTGAATGTCTTTTATAAAACAAATAAATAAACAAAATAAATGGATACATATGTGAATGGATAAATAAATAAAATAGTAAAGCACTTCAGAACCCAAAGGTCCTGTCAAACTTCTGAGAAGAAAACAGTTGGGAGTGAGGGGGAGAGAAGAATCCTGGCCTTGACCTTCATCTCCTCTCCTCTTCTCCCTTGACCACAACAGAGTCTTGTGAATTATACAGAGCCTGGGATTTTGGACTTTCCATCAACATCCTACCCCTAGAATCATCCCTAGAACAGGTTACTGTGTTTGTGTTGAGAGCCAAGGACAAACTAGACACAATGAAAGAGATTAGAAGAATCTCAAAAGAGAAGACATACTAAGCTAAAAGGAACTTTATTAGTATCCCACAAAGGAGAAAAAAGGACTGTCAACAACCAGCAGCTGTGAGTTACCTCTGTGTGACATGGGCTCTTTAAGCTTGGGTCCATTTCCCCCAGGATTCTCTAGGTACTTGTGGGAGATTATACCACAAACATTTGGGGTGGGGGTTGCTATTTTGTGACAACTGTTCTTACCACAACTTCTAAGTATACCTCTTCCTAAAATGTAATTAAATTTGGCTGACTAATTGATATCAATTGATAATCAAGAGAAAAAGTACACTTGTAGGGGCTCATAAATTACAGTATTCAGTAACTGCCCTAGAATCCCTTAGGGTTACTCCAAGAGCACTGAGATTGGGTAATATACCAGCCATGCTCTTAGGCCTTAGTCTGTCATCAAAAATGGGCACTGAGTGGTACCAGAGCATGTGATACATCTGAATGATGGATAAGGACTGCATGCTCTATAACACTTCTATGGTAAATAACAGATAAAGTATAAGAATGAACATGTTGTCCCCAAAGAGTTCCCTGTACAAGCTAATCCTGCTAGCAACTTACAAATAAAATGTAAAATTTAATAAAATAGCATCTTTCTCTTTCACTACATAAATTATTAGATAGCCTTTCAGTTTTCTAATTCATAAATGGACAACATCAACCTGTGAAGTTTCCAACATGGAAACTCTGGAACAGCACAATTTGCTGTAGGATATAATACGTGATAAATCTGTCTTCAAGCTTACTTAAGACTACCAATTTCTGAATTATCCCCTCCAAAAAAAAAAAAACAAGCAACCCCCCCCCCCAAACCCAACCAATAACCACCTTATAAGGAAAATTTAACCTTCATGAAGGGTCATGGAGGAAGTTTAATTAGACAGAAGGCCTGGGAGCGATTCTGTTATGACTCATGATCTCAACAATAGAAAGAGAAGGGAAGAGGATTACACTGGAAGGGAAGGGAAAAGAATGTTAGGGAAAATTACCTCAATCTGGGTGCTCGAGTATAAGTCTCTCCTATGAACAAGGAGGAGGAGGAGGAGGAGGTGGGGGGGGGACAGCTGACACCTGACCCTTATTCTCATCAGAACTGGTCAAAGG